CTATAGCGTGTAGAAGGTGTTGCTAACGTATCTGTCATGGTCTATGAGAGAGAAATTGGAAGATGAATGTAAATTTCTACTGTCAATACTTCAACACTCATTTTAAACTGTGTTTCAGAAAAACAAAATAAATAAAATTGAACAGTTGCTATCCGATCTGCATAAAATATCGTCTCATTATTATTCCTTCATATGATGGATATCTTTTGTTTTTTATTTGATCATTTCTAAGCATACATATTCTTATATTCATGACTTTCTCAGTTTCAAACTAGTCGACTTTGTACAAAGAATATTCTGTATTTTATTGAAATAATAAAGTTTACCTTGTAGATATAAGCGTAAAATCTTTTTCTGATTTTAAATTGTTTATTTTCTATTACTTTTAGAAAGAAAAATAATAGTGAGTAATAATAAACTTTTATGTAAAACAAATAGAAATATATGCAAGTTATGTTTTTAAATAAAACAATCATATTCGTTCTTTTTTTTTTCTTCTTACCATTAAAAGATAATATTTTTCATGTGAAGAATATAAATAAAAATTTTGTGAGTACATTTATATCTTATATTATGTTCAATATAAGAAATAATCTGTTGTCTTTGTAGTTCGATGAATATTTCTGTTGTCATTGATTATGTCATATTATTTTTATCTTTTATTATTATTATTTTTTTTTTTTTGTTATAAAATATTTAACCATCTAAATGCTACCAGTAGTTTTTGCCTTGAGAGAATATTGAACTTTACACTTGAGAAATTTTTTTTCATAAGAAGAAATATATACCAGATTTCAGTTTTTCACCAAATCAATATAAAACATTTTTGCTCTACTAAATATGGAAGTCATCCTTGAATATATATATATATATATTCTTTGCTTTTTTTTTTCTTTTAATTTAACGTAAAGCTTAACAAGCGAATATAACAAATAAATTTCATTGGTATATTTTAGTGATACTAATCAATAATGCATGAATTGACAACGCTCAACAGATAATGATAATCATATTATTTCTATCATTTCGAATGCTGAAGAGGTATACATCGACATAAAATGCTGTTTTATGTTCATTCATTGAGTAGATTCATAGTTTAATACAAATAAATTCATTGATGAGAATTTTATTTTATTGTACATGTTATTCTTTTAGTAAAATGAAAATAAATAACACAGTAAAAACAAACAAAAATAATGACTTTTCTATCATTATCATTTTAGTCTTATGTACTACGTCTTCAGACTAATATATTTTTAATTTATTTTGATTTTTGCTTTTTTGAATAATATATAAGTTCGATATTTGACACAACTGAAATTTGTTGATTTTTTGTATTCCAATTTGAAGAACATGAGAGAGAGAGAGAGAGAAAAGAGAGAAAAGTGAAGAGAAAGAGAGAACTCAATGAACTGAAAAGATTTTGTGGCTGCCGCCTGTTTCACGATGCGCTCAATGACTACTTGTACATAAATCAACAGACATAGTTGCTGATTGTTTGTACATGTTTGTCAATCGTACATTATTTCGTTAGTTTTTTTTTCTTTTCTATAAGAGATTACACACAACAGAAATGCTTGTCTTTTGAACGAATACAAGTTCATTTGAAATCTTACAACAATATTGCCTTGTAAAATGCATGTAAGTCTTTTATGTTAATATTAATCAAGTTATATTGTTCGAAGAATTAAACTAATAGAAATTTTTAAAGATAACTAAATTTATATATATTATAAATAAATTAAGATTATTGAAGAATGTTTTAAATTATGTGTCATTTTTATTAAATGAATAACGTCCGCGGTAGTATAGTGGTTAGTATCCCCGCCTGTCACGCGGGAAACCGGGGTTCGATTCCCCGCCGCGGAGTATTCCTTTTTTTTTTCTTCTTTACTGATCGTTTTCTTTCTTCTTGTATATTGCAAATACAGATAAAAAAAGTAAAAGACAAGAGTCGTTGATTTTATAATTTAATCATCGATTAATCGTGATGACAAATAGTAGGGTATAAGATAGTGTTCTCCCTACATAAATTGACATAATACAAAAAAAATAAATAACAAAAAACGTATACATTATTCTCTTTCACATCTCTAAATTGTGTCTTTTTTCTTTCTTTTCTGTTGCTAATAGCTTCTAAAAGACGATAGACTGGAAATATAATGTCTGTTTGGTCATAGTCTATCATACATAAATAAATACTCGTTGCTCGGAAAATAAATGAATTGTCTATCATTATATTTCTGTTGTTGATGTGGGACATCGCTTATGCTAAATGTAACGACCCTCCTTCTTTCTACCCATATATTTCACAATAAGAAAAAAAAAAGTATTCTTTGTTATTTTTGTTAATTGCATCCAATAATTGGAAGATTAGTAAGGGAAAACATTCGATCATATAAGCTTGAGGGTCACTAAAAAATTAATAAAATCGTTCATTTTATGGACTGTTAATGATATTTGATAAGAATAATAGTTCGAAAATGTAAAAATTTCATTTATGTAACTTCGTCATTTTGTTAAATGACATGTAGAAACAACCTTGACATCAAGGTATGTATAACAAACTTTATTGATCTATATGTCATTTACTAGATTAGTAATAATTGGTCTGAGTATAGTAAAAAGTATGTATGAGATTTCATTTAGAAAATATTTTTCAAACCAATTTCAAGTATCTTTGGTAATTAAGTCAAATGAAAATAACAAGCTACTCAAAAGATATAAATAGTTTACAGACACCCCCCAAAAAAAAATATATATATACTAGATAAAATAGACAGTACACTAATCGTAGATTTATTCTTTAAGATTATAACAATATAACTCGATTAATTAGTTAAAATTTAATATATGTATTTATTTATTGTTCATACCTAAATAAAGAAAAAACAAAACTTAATTAAATAAACTAATTCGATATAAATTGTTTATATGTAAACAACAAGAGTTTCGACATGAGTGAATATAATGATAGCTAAGGAATAGACTCAAACAAATAGAACGAATAACTGACAAATTATTTTTTTTGTCGTTATATTTCCTGACAATTGGTTTGTTAATAATAAGAATATGTCTAGCCATTGATGTTTCAAACATAATTAGATAAATGAATACACAAAGAACAATAATACAAGAACTTCAGATAATACAACAAACAGAAGACTTCCGAATGATTATGTTTATTTGTAAATAATCAAGATTTATTTTCACATTATCAAGCATACATATGAGATCAACGAGATAAATTTATTAATAAAAATATATAATACATAATAATCTTCATAAGAATTGTGTTAAAATAATATAAGAATTTAAAAGAACATTGCATTTTCTTATATGAAAATATCCTAACTTTAACATGATAATCAAGATCTGTATTTTTTTTTCAAATATCTATCAACTAATATTAGTTAAGTCTCAAATAAGAATATTTTTTTTAAAACTTTACCTTTGATTCAACTATCACTTTTTATATATGCTTCGTATAATTTAGAAATCGAGCAAGAGTCTATAGATTATAATGAGTAACTTTTAATTATCGGGAAGAGATGTATATCCATTCTTCCTTCGTTTTCGAGGCCTCTGATACAATTATATTTCATATTCTATCTTACAAATTATCAAGATTTTGTTTTATTTTTAAATAATACTCAAAAGTAGTTTCTATAGATCATGTCTTTTTTTTTTGAATGCACTATTATAAATGGATTGATTATAAATCAATAAAATTTCTTTAAATTTATACATTTAAAGACAATAAGAGTAATATGTAAATTCTTGTTCTAGAAATCCATTTTGGTCATGTATCATTTGAATTTACAATATAGTTTATGTTTTGTTTCTTTTTTTATAAGTTCAGTTTCTTCTGTACTTCCATCTATTTAACTAGATCTACAATTGACACTATGTGACATAGTAACAGTTCAATAATTATTGTTCATATATGTCTTTATATCTTAAGGATTATGTAAGAATTCGAGAAAAAAAATAAATTAATGGTTTGCTTTAAGATGACATTGAATGAACCGAGAGTAGAATTACGATTAACAATAAACATATGATTAAAGAGTACTATTGAGAAAGGGAGAGTGTGAGAGAAGGAGATTGTGGTTTCATACCATCTTTGAGACATTCATTGCATTTCTTTCAAAGAAATTTCGATATACAAACAATTTGAACTCACAAGTATATACAAGTGTGTTTTATTAAGAAGACATTGATTACTTCTTTCATGAACATGTGAGCTTTTTTCTTTTCTTTTTTGTGTAAATAAACTTATAAGAATATATCATCTATGAACAAATAGAGTTTAATGAAACTTGTATGTATCTTTAGAAATTTTGTCATTGATGAAGTATCAAAGAAAAAAAAAAATGATAAATGTTATATTCCATTATTGTTTCATAAAACATATATTATATATTTCTCAAATAAAAAAAGCAATGATGTGTTTTTTTTAAATTTTGTCAATAAGATATCTAGCTTGTTTTTATTTTACATTGTATATGCATACAACTCAATCCTTCATATAGTAGATTCAATAAGATTAAAAATGTAATCTCTGTGTTATTTAAATTTCTATTTTGATTTGATATCGAAATTGATTTTTCGTTTTTTGCTTATATATATATATTCTTAATATGCAAGAGAGCATACCATTTTATAATGATGAAGGACGTATTTACTTTTATACAGGTGATGAGTATTGCTGATTGATTAAAGCTACCAAAATATAAATATAGTTATTCGATGTAAAATATATAGCCGTTATTTATTTTTTTTTCTTTTTTTTTTCTCCTAACTATTACAGTACACTAACACCATAGAGTCAGACCTTCGGTTTCTTTTTTAACGTGTCTATGTATGTGTACGACTGGCTAGACACTGACATCCTTTTGCTCGTCTCTATTCTATTTGCTTGAGTTCTCTATTTATCTATGTATATTTTCTAGGCCAATCGACATCCGTATAATAAAGAATATTTTTCTCCAAAAAAAATGGTTGTACATCGTCAGTACCATTCAAAGAAAGACCCGAATTCTTCATCAACTCGTCTTCTCCATTTAACAATTCCAGTAACATCAAATTTTTTATATAGTACAAACGATTTTGTATGGAATAATCCAATGGAACTTGATTTACTCAATATGAAAAAAGCACCATCATTAACATCAACAGATGAAAATCATTTTTTAAATGTTTTACCATGTATGCGTCGTTTATATACTATATTTAATTCTATATGTCCTAATCTATATCGTATACATTGTTCGGATTCTTTAAGAATTTTACAAGAAATAATTTGTTTAATTGATGAATATCTTCATATACATTTACCATCAAACATACCAATAAATGAATTATTATATAATGAAGAATATTTTGATGATTTTATACATAAATTAAGATTTTCACCATTTAATTATGTTTATCCAAATAATTATTCATCATCAAAAAAACCAGAAATACATTGTTTTGGTCAAGGTATTCATGCATGTAATGATAATAATAAACTTAATCAAACAACATTATTTTGTTTTGAATTAACATCATCATTGGAAAATAATTTTTGCTTACCAATTGATATAGTTATATTAGATCCTAATGAAAATATTGTATCAAATGATGTCAAATATATAAACACTTATGATCAAGGTTATACAAAACTTTTTTCATGCTGTTATAAACCAATAACACAAGCAGGAATTTATAAAATATCATTTTTGTATAATCATATTCAACTAACAACTGATCCATTTACTGTTTTTATAAAAAACCCAGACCAATTAAAAGAACAATCATTATCAGAAGATGCAAAAGAAATGAATGTACAAGGTAAAAAAAAAAAGAAGAAATAATTATTTCTTGTCAAGGATTACGCTTTTTATCTGATAAATGTTGCTGATAGAAATTTCTTTCTTCAAGTATTTTTAGCGTTGAAAAGATATGATACTAAATATGTATAAGATAAATGTTCGTTCTTTATTTTTTTTTTGTTTTTATTTTGCTCTTTGGAGTAATGATTATTCATTCCACGAATCCAAACAGAGCACTTAACTATTGTAACATTTTCGAATTAGCATTTCGGTTGTATGCAGAGAAAAAAAAATGATAAAAATATCAGCTGTAATAAGTTTCATTCGAATGATAGACAGAAAGAGAAAAACATTACTCAAATAGTTACATCTGATAAAATTTCAGTTATATTTGATCATTTTCTTTTTAAAATTAATTTGACTTAATTCAATGATGACAAACCCACCATTTCGTTCACAAATGCTTTCTGTTCCACAATTCAGTAAGAAATCTAATCATTCATAAGCAATAATCTAAAAAATTGCCAGACAAAAAAATGATTATATATGGTTTTTTTTATGTTCTCTTAGAAATTCCTCAATATGAATTAGAAGGTGATGGATGTTCAACAAAAGTTATTTTAAATTCAATAGCACGTTTTCGTCTTCGAATAAATTCATCAACAAACTCTCATCATCAATCAACAGTTGATCCATTTTCACTTTCAATTATTGATCCATTTGGTCATACTATTGTTGTTCAACGTCGTATACTTTCATCTGATTTACTTGAATTAACATATCAACCAATGTCAATAGGTGAACATAAATTAACAATATCATATAATAATAAAATTCATCGTCAATTAATTATTGATGTTATACATGATGAAATAAATTATTTATCAAAATTAAAACCATTTGGACCTGGTCTTCAACGTGCAATTGTTGGTATACCAACTGAATTTTATGTTGATCTTAGTCAACAAAAATTAATAAATCCTACAATTAATACTAATCATATACAATTTTGTTTGGAACCATCCTATCATGCAGAAATTGATTATGAACAACACATGGCTACGGTGCGTTATACACCTTTAATAGAAGGAAAGTGTCCTATACATATACTTGAACATAATAAAGATATTCAACATTCACCATTCATTGCTAACATAAAAAAAGAAAATATTTTACATAATAAACCTAGTATACATATAACTGGTTTATCACAAAATATTATTGTTCATCGTCCTGTTGAATTTGAAGTAAGATAAAAATTTATTTGTTCAGAAAAAACTGAATTTTGTTTTTTTTCAAAAAGGTTTCGATTGATAATCCTTTTGATGATTCAACATATACTCTTCATATTGAAATTTTAACTGATGAGAATTCGCCATCCGTATCTATTGATCGTCATGATCCTTCATCATATAAATGTTCATTTATTCCTAATACATTAGGACGGTATATAATATCAATTGATTATGCCGGAATTGTTCCAGAAAATAATCCATTCTATTGTGAAGCTACGCAAGAAAAAGATATACAATTAACAGGTCCAGCTGTAAATAATCAATGTTTAACATTAAATGAACCAACACATTTTTATTTTAAATTAGAAGATCTTCTCATGAAAAACTCTAATGAGACAAATTCAACATATGAAAGTGGATATAGTTCAAATGACGATACGTCATTAAATTCATCGATAACAGATGGAACAAAAGAAATAAATGATGAACATAATAACTATCGGGTTACAATTACAGATGGACATGGTAATAAAAAATCAAATGTTTCAATTAAAAACCTTAAAGAAAATATGAATGATAATGTACGCGTTGATTTTACACCAGATGAACAAATTTTGTTTATTAATATTTCTTGTACTTGGTAGTGTCAGTTTTTTTTAATGTTTAAAAAAAAAAAAGGAATTTTTAAATAAATTTACGACATAAAGTTTTTCTACAATTGAAACAAATTCTGTTTGAAGACTAAACTTCTAAATTCATCTATTTCTTTGACAATGTAAACTGACATTATCATCTTTGTCTTGATCTTTTTCTGAAACCTTTACACTTAATCGAATTACAAAATTTCTTTCTTTATTATTTTTTTTCTTTGCTACACGATTTAAGTAACAAATGCCTATTAATCATTTCTTTAGATAAATTCAAAAAGAATTCATAAATCTTATTCGATATTGAAATTAGTTTAACAAAAAAAAAACCAAAATGTTTGTTTGATACAAAAATCCTCTACGAAAATATCCTTTTTTTTCATACTGGCGAACAACTAGTTGGACATTGATGACGTACGTCTGATCGAATTCGTTAATTAACGAAAAAGAAAGACGAATATGATCTTGTTCTTTTCTATATACGAAATTTTAAGCTCATATCGAAATCAATCACATCAATTAACATTGTTTTTTGATTACATCGAATCAATTGTTATTAGTTTCTATTATTGATTGCAAGCAATTTTCGAAAGTTATAATTACTAATTTTAACTTTATCCCTATGTAACTTAAAGTTTTCTTGTCATTTTTAATTCAACTTTCTTATCGAACACTTACAACTAATTGTTACCAACTAAATAATATTTTATATTAAACATACATCATGAGGTAAATGATTATAAAATTTGATGATAAAACTTAATCTAGTATATTTTTTTGTTGTTTTTTTATATTTTAGTTTTATTACATTTGAACCTCAATCGACATCAACACCAAAAAAAATCAGTACAATACATATTCCAAATTTATGCTCGACTCCACGACGTGTACATGTTCGTTATTCATTATCAAAATGTGTACCATTACCTATTGACTCATCAACACCGAATTCAAGAAAAACTAGAAAATCTTTTGCACCTGATATTCATCATTTAATTTATCCATCTAATATTACATCAACACATACAATTAAAGTTTGGGTCTTATAAAAAAAAAAAAAAACTATTCGTTAATACTTTGTTTTTATCTAATTTCTTGTTTTTAGTTTAAATAAATTATTTATTATTAAAATTTTCTTTGCTTTAAGTTCAGATTATTGATTATTCTGATAAATATGAGGTTGAAATATTGACTGAAAGGTATCAGATTGTGAAGCTTATTACATATGCATTGAACTAGATTTAATACACGATTGATCATAAGATGTATAGTATATTGAAATAAAGCAATGCTCTCAACATTTGTTAAAACGAGAAAGAAAAATAATGAACTGAATTCACGGTAATGGATGTGTATTGATGATGCATGAAACATACGTCTTATCTATACAAATGAGATTTCATGCCATATATATGATTACACAACTTTCGGGTTCAGTAAATGATTTTAACGTTTTAAGTGATTTAGTAACCGTTGTTCAGTGTTTGGTTTAGTTTAATGAAATCAGTGGATCTTTTTGTGACTGTTTACGTTCATGATGATTTACACGATCTGCTGTTCGTTAATCATTTCTCTCTAACGTTAAAGATATGAGCAAATGAAGTAATAAAAAATTGAAAAAAAGAAAGTATTAGAATTATTGGAACTGTACATTGTTTAACTAAATATTGAATTACTGATGAGTTCAAGATTCATATGAGAAATGATGTGATAATTTATTGATAATTATGACTTTCATACTGTACATCAATCGATTGAATAGACAGTATATAACTGAGGTTGAGTAAAATTCATTTACACTTATGCTATTTTCTCTCATCACAATGTATTTGCTTTCTCTGCTTCAATCAATATTTGTTTGATATTTTAGCATTAATAACAAACTTGATAGACATTTTTTTCTTTAGACACTATAGTTATGAATATAAATGTTAAATTCATCGATAAGAACAACGAATATATGTGTTATAGGGAAAATTAGAATAACTGGAATTTCAGTATTATTTGGACAATATTAGAATCCGACTAGAAATGAATTCATACTATCAAAACAAATAAAACCTGAATAGAATAACTATAGTTGGTTCTTCAACAATATCTTGTGATTTAGTAAATAATTTCTGAGACAAAGCATTTCAATCTATTTATCCATATGTGTACTAAGACTTGGTTCGTAATGACATTTTATCTAACAATAAAATTCACATGTTTATTTCGGGAAAAACGTTGTTTTGTAGTGCGCACTTGACTTTATAATCGCAAGTGTTGTCAGTTGTTGAATTCAGTTCAAACATTTTTCACTTAGGTTATAACGCATACAAAAAAACAACGAAACATCGAAAATCGAGTTTTTTTACAATATTTGATAGGATAGTTTTTCCATGATATCAACCACATTGTACAAAACTGAACTTCCATTTTTATGAAAATTTCAACGTTAGTAGAGATTTCAATTCTAAGAGTTTTGATAAAAATGATGCTTTTAAGCAATTCTCTGGACAGGTAGAGATGATTTTTGTGAAAGTTGAACCTGATTTTAGTATGATTCGATGTTCCATCTCACGAGAAATCTGAATATGATATAGAATTTATTTTTAATCTTCTTTTAGTGGATTAAGCTATCAAAAACTTTTGATCAAAATTATATGAGAAAAATCATTTTTTGGTTTTTCACTAATTAAATTTTAGTGTATCTTCATGAAAAATAAAAGGTTTTTAAAAACAATTTTTTGTATCAAAACGCTTAGAATGAAAACCTATACAAATATTAAAAAGTTTCATCGAAATCGAAGTTTACTTTTGTACAAAGTGATCGTCACCACAGGAATACCGTTCTCTTGAATATTGAAAAAACGCGACCTTTTAGTCTTTTTTTGTTTCGCATTTTATCAGATCAAAATGTGAAAAGACCAGATTTAGTTCATATTACAAATCAAGTGATCGTTCACAAAACTCTATATATAAAAATGCTTTGGAATTTCGTTTTTCAGAACTTTGTTTTTTAGCACAGCGTGCATTATTATTTAGTCAATGCGCTGCATACGCGAAAGGATGTTATAATCAAGATGTAAACAGAATCTCAATGTATTCTAGCCAAAAGATAGCCAAGATTAGAAGCTATCTGAACATATACAATAGTTACTAATTTGTATGTTTAATTTGAACGATACTTGTCTGAAATCATTTTGGATAAAATCCTAATTTCTATCATTATTCTTAACAATCATAGAAAATATCATCCCCATTCTGTATTTATTTATTCATTAAATCTGCAGCACTGAACTTGCAGATTTTATTAATTTAATATGATCTACAAACCGTGAAGGTTTCATAGGGTTTCGAAATGCTTGTGTTTTTTATGGTAGAGATCCCATGAAATACCCTGACTCGTAGATTTTATTTATAGTTAAGAATATGTCTCATAGATTTTCGTATTGTCAGGTTTCTAAATCACAATAAGCTATTTATTGAAACTTGGTTATGATTAGTTTCGAATGATTCATTTCTTCTGATTTCACGCAACGCTTATTTCGTTTTATCGATGTCAGTCGTGGGCCTATTACAGGTTACAATTAACGATAGTGATATAAAGATGATTCATTTAAAGAAAAACCTTAGCTGAAATGATTAGTTATACTAGGTCATAGTAACCTTAGTAGAGAAGAAAAATGTTGAACAAATATTAAACTAGAGTGTTAAGTGCAAACATGATCGATTTCGTGTTTATGCTTTCTTTTTTATTGCGAGTACAAAAACAATAATGAAAATTGAACAAACTCAATAATTCTTTATATAGAATAAAATTGCATTAAAAAAAATCGTATTTTTGAACTGTAAATATCTATTTACTATTGTTAATATACCAAATAGTATTATTGTGATAAAAAAGTTCTTGACCAATTATGTTACTTCTTTATCAATATCATATTGAAAATTGTTTCAATTATTTGAATATACTATTTTAAGAGCTTTACAAGTGTATCGTTATTTAAATATGAAATAATTATTTCTATCGAAAAAGAAAAGCGAATAATATGATTTATTATATAATACAATTTATCAATAGTTCATATTTTTTACTGTAAAAAGTACTGTACAGCAAAAATAATATGATCATAAGCCCATAAAAAAATGATACCATTAAATTTATAAAATAGTTCAAATTTTTTTTGTTGTTCTCTTTGTAATCATTATTAACCATGTTGTGAATATTTCATTCCATCAATTGAATCTACAACATGAAGGAGGAGTAATAAACTTCGTACATGTTGTTTTTCTAAGTTTATACGATTTATTTTTTCATGTATTAAATTTTCTTCATGTATAATTTGCTTAATTTGATTTAATTTATAAATTACTTCACGATGTTCTTTATATGTCATTTTTCGTTTCGATATTATTTTACTATTTGCAGATATTGTTTTATTCCTTTTTTTATCAGTTGAAGAGGTTTCTATATCACAGATCTGAATGGATTGATCATTGTTAATTATTGATGAATCGACTAACGATGAACTAGAAGCAGCCATGATATCTTCAATTCGTCTATAATATAATAGTACTATATTGCGTTATATTGACACATGAATGGAATAATTTCTGTGTTTATATAGCAGTGATTGTAAACGAAGAAAGAAAAAAAGGTGAATAATAGTAACAAATCAAGGGCAAACAGTGAAGAAAATGATTGTGAGCGTTCGCGTGTATCATTAATGATAGCGAATATTACTATGGTAGGAAATTACATTTGTCAAACAGAATATTTCATTGTAAATTAGTAGTTGACAATGTGAATGACAAAGAAAAACAGAAAAACAAAGCGTGTAATGGATCGAAAAAAAACGAAAAATTCTCATTAATGACGTATAGTTTTAGTTTATTGAAATGGGGAAACGTTTGAATGAATTTTTGAAAGGAGTATTTTTTTGCCGACATTTTAACTTGTAAATTTAGATTATAAACAATACGATTTTTTTGTTCGTTCCTCTTTCTACATTTTATTAATAACTTTTACGAATAAAAAAGGTTTGTATCTCTATAAATACATATCTACAATTTGAGATGATGAAACAATATGGCTAAAAATAAAATACGACAAAATAAAATGTTACGTTTTTTTTTCTTATCCATATAGTACCTTCTATTTTGATAAATTAATCATAATCAGGTGGAATGGTCAAGTATTATACGAAGAAATCTTTTAAACTATCATTTAAAAATTAGATTCTTAATGAAGTAGTTTTGTCCTTAAAATTTCGGCGAGATGGTTAATTAGAAACCGTGACAAAAATATAAAGAAATGATAACGTGAAATTGTATACTTTAGAAAGCGTCTAAAAATAGTGTCTTGTGTCTCACGTTGACAATATTGAAATAGATAGCTTATCAACGATAGATAGTAATTCGAAAAATATTGATGAAGAATCGAAGAAAAATCTAAAGATAATTGAACCCTTCTGGTTTTCCTTGTTCTTTTATCATCTTGAATAAAAAATATTTTTAAAAATAAACGAAAATAAAATAAAATTGTATCTCAATAGTAAATCAAATAAAAACTAATTTTATTCTAATTATCGCGCTTTTAAGATGGCATGTTGTTTTTTCTTTGGTAAAACATGCAAATTTTTTTCATATTCTTCTTTATTCATATTCACATAATTGTGTTCTCGATAAAAACTGAAATAAAATTTAGTCTTAATGTTCCATCATTATTTCGATGTAAACGAAATGGACGTGTTTTTTATTTTGATAATTTTCCAACAGATCGATTATTTAATCAAACTATAACAAATCAAATCAAGAATTGTGATTTATCTTTGATAACACCAGATAAACGTATTATATTTGATGTTGACAAACTTATTTCACAATGTAATTTTCAATTTTCAAACTTAGAAGATCGTATTAATGAAATATTATTTTTTAAATCAAATTGTTCAATAGATGATCGATGTATACGATTAACACCATCATTTGCAACAATAATTACAAATCATAGAACTACCATATCAAACAAACCAACATTAATCGATTTTGATATAAGAGGAATTGGAACAGAAAATATTCAAATAGGTGAAGAAGATCAATATGTTTTTTCTGTAAGAAAGAAAAGAGAAAAAAATTCTTTTTAGTCATATGAAACAACCATAACAGATTTAGGTGAATTCTAGTTTCTGAGCTTTAGTATTTTTATGAGAAGAAATGTTCAAATTGGTACCTACAAGTTGAGCTCCTATTAGGTTCACAAGAAGGTCTTGATAGAACTCGAAAAATCCTAATAAGACTCATGCCCCCAGACCTCTGAAATCGAGTTATAACTGTTTTTTCTGAAGTTTCGATCTATCTTTCGGTATTAACTCGAAAATGGAATGATAATATTTCAGTGTGAAATCTCACCCATAAAAAGGCCCAATTACTAGTAGAATGCCCTGAAAGTTTCAACGAAAAAAAATGTTCCTTTGTCTAAATGTTGAATTTTCAAGTAAATTCAATTTTCATGATAAATGACTTTTTTTTGTAAATTCAACATTTCAATAAAGGAACATCCTATTTGACTGAAACTTTCAGAATATTCTACTAGTTATTCTGCCTGTTGATGGATAAAGCATTAAATTGAAATATCGTTATTTGATTTTTCGATAAATACATAAAGTCTCATCGAAATTTCAGTAGAATAGACATAATTCGGTGTCGGTGGTTTAGTTGTACAAAATCTTTTGGGATTTACCTAGTCTTATCGTGACCGTCTTGTGAACCCAATATGGACTCAAACAATGGGCATCAGCTCAAATCGTTCAGTCACGAGCGAGAGTGCTCGGGAACAGAGCTGCCAACCTAACTTGCTGCTTGCCAGACTAGAACAAATTTTGAAATTTTAGTCCATAGAGATTCGTCCTGGATAACCAGGCAAGACCAAGCCAAAGTTATCGATCTAGCTATAACATTTTTGAAATCAAATGTTGATGTATCGCCTTTTTATTCGAGAATACTTTGACAAAGTTATTAGGTTTCAGCAATAAAATACTTGAACTAAACGTCATTTTAGTATTTGTAAGACTTGTATTGACTAACAGAAGAACTTATTTAGATCTCAAAGAACCGAATAGCCAATTTTTCGTTCATGCTGTTGCGAAAGTTGATTGTCAGATGAAAATGTCTTTGTCTGCTATTACAAGTATCACCTATACGTTACATTTTCTGTCACCTCTTGTTGTATGCCTATTCGTATATTGTTTCTACTTACAGGCTTACACTTTTTCGATTTTGCGAAATAGAACTCATATTATCAAGAAAATTTCATTAATTCAAGCCTTTCATGTATGACGAATATTTATGATGTTTGTCTGCTTGTTTTAATTACACTATTTGGTGCAAAAGCTTGATATATTATCTTATCTCTATAGAAATAAATGAATTGATAGGTTAATACAAAATAATAGAATTAAATTTACTCAAAAAATTAGAAACATCAATCGGTCTAATTTGGCCTGCAGGTTAAGCTAGAAAAAAAGTGTTCTATTGGTAGTTCTGCTTGAGAACATGTATGGAAGGTACTTTTTACCCTCATTTGACTTCTAAAACTCAGATGTGAAGCATTTTCGATCGATCTAAATCTGTCGTGGTAGTTTCAGTCGTGCTAGTTTGACATTGATAATTATTTTTCGCTTAATTGTTTATCTTTATTTAAGTCGAATGATGATGGTTATACAAAAAGAGGTTTTAGGAAAAATCAAATCGTTTTTAAAATGAAACAAGATAAATATCTAAATATGATGTGCGAGTATGTTTAACACTTGATTTGTTTTGTTTCTTTTTTTTGTTTTTGTTAAAAAAAAATGATTTCATTTTTCATATTGAAACCTCAGATATACTTATATAAATGATCCAAAAAATAAAAAATCTATTTGTCGTTTTCAATATGGGATTTTCAAAAATTTTATTCAAATAAGAAGTGGAAAAATGACTTCATCAGGAGAAGGTTGGACATGGCTATGTTGTAAGTATTAGATAAAATTTGTATTATTATGAGAAAAAAAAACGAAACGTCTTTTTTCTTCTATACCTTAGATTATTATCCATCGGATGCCGAAGATCCAATGGATGACACCATGATTAGTAAAGCTGTAAGTGTTATTTTAGAAGTTATCAATAATAGGAAAAAAACCAATATTAATGTAATGAAATAGGATTCTAGATAGAAGATTTGGAAAAAACAAATTTATCTACAGTTCGTATTTCGTAAGTTAAAATTAATCGTTTAAGGAAGAAAACATTTATTTTTTTTTCTTTTGATATTTCTATAGACCGGTATATCAACTTTCGAACTTAACCGAATTCTTAGATAATTCTTCAATGCCATTAAATCAGACGAATAAAGGCTCATTAATGCCCATATTTATTCTTCTATTGATACTAATTATTGTTGGTGGAATATTTTATATCTATAAAAAAAACTACCAAGTTGAATTAAAAGCATCTGATGATTCTGTTCTTGCACGATCATCAGTAGAATCACAAAATTCTATTGTATCGAATGAGAGTTTGTTGAACCAAATTTTTTTTGAATAAAATTAACTTGTTTTGTTTTATAAATATAAAAAAAAACAAAATAATGCATATAAATGGTTTGATATTTGGAAATAGGCACGCTTTTTTTCTTACTATCTTTTATATAGAAAGGAATACTTTGTCTTTCTAAAAAGAAAGAGCAAACCTATTTAATCTAAATGTTCATGACAAACAATAAATTTTACTGACAGATTTTGTTCAATATTACTAAGTATACTTTCATTTTCATATTACACAGATTCATATGAAAGTGTTTTCGTAACTGAAGCAGGCTGTTAAAAAAAATGAAAGAATAATAATATTCTTATAAGTATAATGGATCGCTTATGATATTTACTTTGTTCACAAAATTTCCTTAATTGAATTAATGTGTCTATTATGGTCTAGCCATATTTAATTGCTGACAGTAAATTTAAATAAAAAGTAAAAAGTTCAGTAAATATGTTCTTTGAGTTTCTTAGAATATTTATTATGTGTGTAAAAAAATTGCAAATTGAATGACAATTCTTAATTATCAGTCGAAATCAAACAAAAAATAACTGTATGTATTTATCTATCGAATATAAAATTTTTTGAATTCAAAAGATCTACCAAAAGCTTATAAATAGTATATTATTCTCAAGAATTTCTGTTTGAGACATAGTTCTCAATGTCTATTGTATAATGAGAGAAAATATTTTATATGTCTTCTTGATGTGTTCTTTTTTTGTTAACTGTTAAGTTTTCGGTGATAAAATCATATGCAATGGCAAAAACATTTCTTAATAATTATATTTGAAATATTAAGTTCGTTACATAAAATATTCAAATAGACTTATTCTTTTTTCCTAAACTATGTCGCGAAAGTCTTAGTACAAAATATTTATTCATTTTTTTGACCAGCTATATAAGAGTTATAAGCTGTTGATTAGAATTAAACTTTTTTACTCTTTTCGAATACGTGTTTAGAGTTGCCTTCTAAGTTAACATTAGAGAATTATTATCAGAATGTCTCAAAAGGCAGAAAATAGTGCTTGCACAAAACATTAATTTGGACAATTTTATATTTCGATTGAAATCTATCAAATTCCAAATTCGAACTAATAGTTTTAATGACTCAGTTTCGTAGAGCAAAGCTTGCTCTTAAAAAAATGCTATGTACTTTTGCATGATAGTTCTTTTAACCTTATGTATTATTAAAAGCAATTTTTGAAGTGTTGAGTTTTCTGACTAAGACCAATTTTTATGTGAACTAGCTCTTTAGTGGAAGTACATAGATAAAATTTCGCTTATCGTAATATTTCATTTGTTACAGAATTCAATACTCTAAAATGATGTTGAGTTCAAACTGTTCCAAAACCCAAAATAAGGACTGTGCCAAACTCACTACTCTTCATGGTCTAGACACTTTTAGATTTTTTCACAAAACTTACTGACAGTTATTCAACCTTATTCCAAAAAGAAAATCGGAACATATATTCAGTAATCGAAATAAATTCTGATTGTAACTAATTACTGCTGGCTCTAACCATTTATCTTTTAGAAGCCGAAAAAAAGAAACAAATATTTTGTGACAAGGCTTTAATGTCATAGGTTACATCATACATTTACAGTTGTAGTTCAGCTATATTTATGAAATTCAATTTTAAATTTCTTTTTATTTTTCAACATATTGATAAATTGCATACTATTAAACGATCAAGCAATAATAATAATCTATACGTCTAACATTATTTCATCCCGCCTTGATCTATTTAATAATTAAATTCTTTCTTTTTCGGTTTAATGTTTATATCAAATAAAAACGTACGTTTCTTTATTTTCTTTTTAATTCAACAATATTTTATTTTTTGTTTAAAAACCGAAATAAAATTTCATATAAATAACGTACCATCATTATTTCGTTGTGAAAAAAATGGACCATTATTTTATTTTAATCATTTTCCAAGTGATGATCTATTTCATCAAACATTATTAGAAAATGATTTTTTGTGTGATTTATCGTTATTATCAATAGATCAACGTTCTATTATTGGAATCGATCAACTGAATCTATTATGTGAAATTCAGAATAAAAAAAATCATATAAATGAATTTCTTTTATTTTCATCTAAATGTTCAAAAGATTTATGTAAAAAATTTGTACCAACAACAGCTTCAATTATTACCCAATATAAAACAGGAAATATAAATGTCGAAAAAATAAACTTAGTGTTTTATGGTAATCATTCAAATCAATTAATGATTGGAAAATTAACAGATGATAAATATTTAGTAAGAAGAAGCATATGAATTTGCTTTTTTTTTCATTCCATTGAAATTTTTTCTTTGTTCTGTTGAGAGAACAAGTAGTTCTTTACACAATGGTGATATTCTAACAAATCAAATTGTATTTCAATATGAAGATAATAATTATGTTAATATGATGTGTGAGTGAGTTTTAATCAGATATTTTTCTCTTGGGACTTTTTCTTTTTTTTCCTAATATATATTTATTTAATTTTTTGATATTCATATGTGGTTAATTTAAAATTAACTATTGGTATTTGTCATCAATATTATTGGAATCAATCAAGTACTGTCAAACCTGATTGGTCATGGATTTGTTGTATGATTAAAAATTAGATTTTATTATTTATTCAGACAATAGAATGTTTAGATTATTATCCATCCAAATCTGAAGATCCATTAGATCATAATATGATTTATAGAGCTGTGAGTTTCGTCTGATTTCTAATTTATAACTAGAGATGTACACTGTTGGTGTCAATACTGGTGTGGATGCAGACAGTGGCAGATCTAGGATTTTTATGATCAAGGCCACATGGACAAAGAATGAACACGATCATGATCATGAAACGTGTTTTGAAATTGAATAGAGGTAGTATCAGCTCATTTGTGAGCCTTTTTTTGCTAGAGGAAATGAAGTAATCATCACATCTTCTATCAATCCGTCAGTGAGTGTAGATTCTAGTCTTCTCTTCAACTACACTTACTCTGGAGACATAAATGTTTTCAATATTTTTCCTCTTATACATTTATCCACTTGACATTCTTCCTATTCTATATTGATTGATTTTTTGACCTTTTTCCTTTCGATCTTTTTACGGCCAACCTAAACACTACAAAATGGGTAACTAATATTCTCGTTCGCTGCAATATTGAAACATCAACCCTATGAAGATATATAGGCTTTTTATAGTGAAGTGTTCTAATGATTTAGCGTATACTGACTCGGTGGTCAATCAACTAAAACTAAACATTCTTATTGATAACAAAAACAAAAGAATTATTTTCTTATAGGTTGAAGAATTTGAGAAAACAAATCCGAAAGGAACTCGTATATTGTGTGTTATTATGTTTTTCATTTGAATAGAGTTTTCATATACTGATATTATAGATTAAGAAAATTTGAAGATAATCTAAATAATTTTTCGTCATCATCAAATGGATCAATGTCTAGTGATTTATCAAAAGTTTCTACATTTATGTCATTATTTTTAATCTTATTGATGTGTATCTGTGGAATTTGTTATTGTAATAAAAAGAAAACGGATAAAAAATTAATTAATCGATCATCTCAAGAATCACAATATTCTCCAGAAACATTAGACGAAGTTTTCATTGAATAATTTATGTTATTCTTATTGCACAATAAAAAAAAACGACCTTCTATATGTTTCATGAATTGTTGTTCTCTCTTTTTGATTCTGTTTCTCAATTCATCGAGAACAAAAAATGAGACAAGAGAAATAAAAAAACGAGTGTCAGCCGCTTTTTCTTTTTTTTCTTTCTGATTCTTTTTCTTCTACGCGCCCTTCGAGAACAATCGCGAAAATTCGTTATATCAATAATTTTTCTTACAACTCTGTCAACACACACACATATATATAAGCAGCATTTCAGACGATAAAAACAAGAATATAAAAAAGTTGTTTTGATTATTTTTTTTTGTCTATACATTATGAATATGCTTTCAACGTTTCGGAATGATCCATTTTTTTCTGGTGTCGATCTACCACAGTCATTGGCACTTGAACATCGACGACGATATGATAATCATGATCGACAACTAACACAACGTCAACAAAATAATAATCGAGAATTAGATATATTCGGTAATCCATTTGCATATATGCAAAATGCTATGGATAATATGCATCAAATGATGCATCATATCGAAACGAGAATGAATAATAATGATTTTGGTGGACGCAATGGTCAAGGAGTTTCATTTAGTTCATCAACTGTGATGAGTATGGATCGAAGCAATGGTGGCGAACCAAGAATATTTCAAGCAACATCAGAAAAATTGCATGGACCTGAAGGTAAATTATGGATTGTTGTGAATAGTTCGTATTTTTTTAAACAAGATTTTTCTATTTAGGTTTTTCTCGAACACGTAAAGCTGTTCGTGATACAGGCCGAAATTTAGAAAAAATGGAAATAGCTCATCGACTTGGTGAACGTGGTCATAAAATAATAAAAGAACGTGATCCAACTAGTGGACGATTATTAGAAAATCGTGAATTTGAATATATTGAGGATGAAAATCAATTTGAACGTGAATGGTTTAATCGTGCAGACCAATTAGGTTTGAAAAATATTAATGGACATGGATTTAATTCAAGTACAAATAATTTATTAATGTCACCACAATCATTTGAACGACATCGATCACAATCTCAAGAACCAAGACACTTAGCTATTGAACATGGACAATCAAATAATAATAATTCACATTATCAACAACATCGAAAGAAATAAACTATTTCAAAAAATAATTCTTTTTCTTTTTTATATTGAAATGACTTGTATATAATGGTTATTTTAGGCTTTCTGTTCTGATAAATATAAATTGAATGTTTTTAAGTAAAAATGATGTTTTTTATAAGGTGAAGAATTATATGGTCAAAATAAACAGTATAGTAAAATTTTGTTTTCCATTTTTTCTCTACTACTATTGATATTTGATTTCATATTCATAAATACAGAAACAAATTTGTCATATCTATCGAAATACGATGAAAATCAAAATTTGTCAATTTTTAGCTGCATTGATCTTTTTTCAGCTAAATCAAAGGCATCGCAATATTTCAAAAAGTTGTGCCCAATCAGTGAAATTTGGCTTGATCGTAGAACTAAACGACAAAAATCTACCACAAAATTTTCAACCTGATCTGTCTAGTTGAAGAGGAGTTATAATGACAATACGTCTGCATCAAATTAATGTCCGAATTGGAGAAATTTTGTTTAGTATGATTATCTAAACAATCATCGATGTTTTGAATTTCATAGTAAGAATAAAGACGTATGATATGCAGTTCGAAACAGTTACAAATGTTCTAGATTTTCATTATTTGAATGTTTTCTAATACTCGTTGAAATACTTGAGAAATATGAGAAAAGTGAAGTGTACGATCTCGTTTAATCAACATATTACTCTATCACGAACGGTAAATTTTGGTAATCTGATTGTATCTCTAAAATGGAAACGGCTGTCTTTAGAGATGCATCAGTCTGACTAGATATCCAGCTCTACTGGACTTTCAATAAACTGATCTAGAACTGAGCTGATAATCAGTATTTTTGCTTTTGACCAAAGTTACTTGGGGACGAGGAATCCAAACTCGTAACCAGTTTTAAGACATTGTCTACTTAACGTTCCACTAAACAAAGGATTAAAAAAATAACGTATTTTGCATAAAGTTTGACCCAAGTTTTTCGAGATCGAGGAATTGGAATTCATGATCAGTCTCTTACAATATAAAGTTTGGCTTTTACACCCATAAATCTTTCTTTACCCAAAAAATTGTTTTGTTTCAAAAATCATAGTTCATGTGAAAAATATTTTCAAGGGAAAAATATCATTTTGTTCTTTAAAAAATTTTTAACAAAAATAAATTATTTTTCCAAGAAACTATTATTAGTCAGAAAGACAAACTAAAAACTTCAAGTTGACTAGCGATTCGAATTCTAAGACCTCAAAAATCTCTAGTCAAAATACAAAAATAATGGTTGTAGAACTAGTTCCACGTCAGTATGATGTATATTCAGCAGAGCTGAATACCGAATCGGGACTGGAACTAGTACATGCCTAGCGATGATCGTTTCTCTAGACCCTTTCTAGAGACACTTTGCTGATTTTCCTATTGAAAGACGATCAAAGAGAGTACTCTTACGTGGTAAGAATTGCTCCCAAAACTAATCGCACTGCTCAAGAGACAATCCTCACCGAAAACCGGAGTTTTCGCCAAGAATATGATTTTTAGAAGACTCTCCTAGTCGAAAAGCAAGCACTACAGAACAGAAAGTTTAATTTGAAAGGCTCCCTTTTAGTTCTGCTCACAGTGAAAATTTGAATCGTTTACTTCATTCTACAGTAGTTATATGATATAAAACACGGAAGTGAGGAAAAAACCATTAGTGTTGCTTGATCTATGGAGTGTGATCGACTAAGCTGATACTGGTACCGGATGAGAAATAGTCTACAAAAATACAGAGAAGTACTAATCATTTCTAAATGCCTTCTTCAACAGTTATCGAACATGCCTTCTGTCGATTTCTAGGAAACATACAAATTATTGAGCATCGAATAAGGTCAGAACAGGTCGAACGATGAGCTCATTAAATAAAAGTTTGAAGCGTATTCATTGAAAGATAAGATGTGTATGGCGAAACTATCACCATCAGTGACAGACTGGACATGAAATCCTAGCTTTTCGAAAACATTCAATTCTTCTATTGACTGCTTCGAAAGCCACAATCACAATGCACTGCTCATCCTTATTCACGCATTCAGTCGATCAGCAGTTAATGCTATACAACATTGAGTGGCTAATCTGTCAGAAGATTCGATCGGCCTTATTTTGCTCCATAATCATTTTGGTATTTATCACGATAACAACAGTAAAATAATTGATCCTGAATGACAGAAAAAATTTTCGAGAAAGCAGATGAACTACTCACCGAAGTTTAGGTCGTCAGCATTATTGATTCTTATTCTGTCATTGCCTTCTACGTAGTCCCACCACTCACATTGAAGATCATGCTCTAGGTTAACACGAATTGGTGTGATCAACATGTATTGCAAACACAATATACTTCGTAATATTTGCCTATTGTGATATGTCTGACGAGAGAACTATCCCAAGTGTTAATCACCGATCGGGTTCATATTTTGTCCATAAGTAGAACTCGATGGGACTAGAAGAACTCTAAAAGAGTTCATCCCCATACGTTGTCTTTCTTGAGTTA